GCACACGCATACACACACACACACACACATACATTTTTAAAGGCACGAACATGTACCCACCTCTACAATAATATGTTTATTTAAACACTTTCATTCCCTTGATCTTCCGGTACAATTAAAAAATGTTCTTTTAATGTATCTTGATAGGCCCAGGCTCAAAAAAGCGTTTTCTGTTTTCTAAAGTTTCTGTAAATTAATGAAGTTAAATATACATTCATATTACGCTATCCGAAGGTTGCGACAAATTGGACCTTTATACGGTCGTAAAAAAATGTTCTTTACAAATAACAAAATTTCAACTGCTGGCTTAGCTCAATGGGTAACAGGCTTATTCATTAACATTATACAAATCCTTAATTATTAAATATTTACATTTATTATTTTTGTTTTGGGAATACAATGATTAAAAAAAGTTCATCGCTCAGAAATCATATACTTAAATAGTTATAACCACTTGAAATAATAACGGAAATGTTATCTGTATTGCAAAAAATACAGCTTTATAAAATCACCTAGATAGTTAAAAGATAGTTAAAAATATCATACTAGTAGCATTTCTAACTCGTTTATCGAGTCTGCTTAATTTTACATACCGATCAGTCTCCGCATAATCTGCAAGAAATCATTTTATCTAGTACACCAGTCATCCCGAAAACTCTCATATTTAGTTTGTTTTTTTTGTCATCGTCAGCTTCAAGCACAATTTGTTTTTTTAGCAGATAAGTGCTGAAGTGTTAAGATATAATACAAAAAGGAGTGGTACTACAAAATGGCAGACTTTCCCGCTATACTTAGTTTTCTATTATGTTGCTATATTCTTTTGTTTTTTTTAAAAAATTACAAAAATGTAATTTTTTAAATATTTCTCATGTCTTTATTTCACGCGATTTCCAGCGATTTGTAAACACTATTGCATTTGTGATTTTAAGTGCTTGAAATGACTTCATATGAAGGTTTTCGAAAACTTAATATTTTCTGTGAAAAGAGGTTCAAATTTTACATTTACAGCAGTATTTAAACGTCTTTTTCTGGCAAACGTCTCCAAATTTTTCAAAGAAAATTGCCATTTAGAGAGGGGTTTTATTTTTCTTTAATGTTCTTAGAATAATATTTCCGTCCTACAATTAAAAAACCGAAACATTAGGAAATTTCAAAAAATGTTCTTTGGGCGGCAATAGATGGTAACTGGCAAGAGTATGTGGCAAGTCCAAAAAGCTAGCCGAGACCAAAGGACATAGAAAGCTAATACGGAAAAGTCCGCTCCATTCCGTAGCACTACATATTTTGCTTTAGGTATTCATTTATCGTAGGTATTATTCATCAACTTCTTTCTGAATACTTGTTTCATTCTTCTGGGAGTAAAAGTCCAGTTCTCAATTACACACGATTGCATACACATCACACACATTTGCCTGTCAGGTCACGAAAGTATGGAAGATTTGGAGCCTAGATCAGAGTCCTCTCCAGGGTCAGGTGCCCCTGTTTTCTTGATATTCTATATTGTTTTGTATACTATTGCAAACCGTTTAGTGGAGCGAGCTATTTTTATTCCTGTCAAGAGGAAAAATCCGAGGTTCGGTGAATGGAAGTGGCATGGGATTCGGCAACAGGGTGCTTGTCACAGGAAGCCTGAGGCCAATGCCCTTTACCAGGAGGCTTCTTCCTAGACCAGGTGAAAGGAAGAGGGGGTCATGGGGTATTATGACCTCTGAGGTCACAAATCCTGGACGTCGTGCATTTGACGAATGTCAACACGTTCGACACGCATGTAGAAGCTGTGGTTAGAAACTTGGCTTTTTAGGGCTTCCGCATTAATCATCTAGTTTTTCTACAAAGCGCATTTGTAAACCTGTGTTAAATAAAGCAACTGTACTGACCTATTTTCAACCCCTGATGACATGTCTAATGGAAACTGTAATGGCTATGCGTTGTACAGTATGTAAAGTGTGAACAATATGTAATGAAAATGTAACTAATATCCAACCATGAACTGGAAACACCTTGTTTTGTAATTTTGTAATAGTTGCTAATAATCTTTAAGAATTTTTAAAAGATTAGTTTAGATTATTAAGACATCATTTTAGCAAAATAATTGGGGCTACCAAGGCTAGATTTGTGCATATATCAGAGTTCAATGATAAAAATAAGTGTAATAGAACATTTATAGATCAGCGTACGAAAATTGGGAGTGTATGTGTGAATGTCAGGAAAGAAATTTTTCATTTGTGGCCTTCTGTTTATTGACAATGAAATCTGGAGTAAAAGCTGCGTTAAAGATCTTAAGCATTTGCATAAAAATATAAAAATTATATACTGTTGAAAAGTCATTCTTGTAATCAGTTGATTTTAATGTACTGGGAAAAATTAGAATAAACCAACAATGACATGAAGTGTAAATAATTTATATTCACAAAAAGTACAAACTTGTAGAATAAGTATTAACATGTTTTAAGTCGCTAATTAATGCAACAAAATATTCCGGAGATTACCTGTCTCCTACACTTCACAAATTATTCCGTGTATATGTACGTATAGGCGTGCAAGTAAAATGTTGAGACGGCTCCAATTCTTTGCAATTGGTCACGACCCCGTACTGCCTAAATATTGTATTTTAGTTATCGTTTAATTGTTTTTAAAATCGATACTTCGTCATTGGCCATGTAAGGCCATCAAAATAAGTATGTGCCTTCTTGGAAGTAAATTTTTTACCTAGTATTCAGTTTCCATTCTCAGGCTCATAAGCAAAATTGAACAACGATGAGCAATAGTTATCTAAGCGCCCAAACCGAAATACTGTGATGATTACTTCGCTGCTTCGAGAAAAGTATATTCTTACTAAGGAAAGATTATCTAGCCAACAGCTCTAATGTATTTCCATTTAGCGGCAATTAAACCAAGCGCCATTTCTTTATTTTGCATTTCCAGTTTAGCAAACTTGATACAATCGCCATCTCTTTGCAACCGTGTTGTTTGTTTTCTCTCTACAACTGTTTTGTTTTCTCTAAGCATTGGGAACATTCATTTAGAACAGTAAACTGAACTAATACATGCTCTCGGGCAATATTAATCGTGAAACTGACAATGACTTACACACACACACACTTACACACACTAATATTGCCGGGAACCGGTCGGGAGCTTAGAGCTTGGCCCGGCCGCGGTGGTGCCCCGCTTGTGGGAGATACCGGTTTGGGGAAATCCCCGACAGGTAGGTCGCTGCTGTATATAACCATCCAGAAGGGGAAGATCACCGCCACCGCCACCGCCCGAAGAAATACATGCACTACAATTACGGGACTACTTTCTTAGCGCCCGGAATCACTAATCAATCCATCCAATTGCTGCTTGGAAGTTTTTGGTCAGATATAATACATATTTTCTCAAATATTCTTATATAAGCATAATAGCCGGCGTAGCCCTGAATGAAAATTGTTCTTCAGATCGAATGTAAAGAAATCTAATTTTTTGAGACGACCAAGAAATGAATTAATAATAATGAGTTTTCGTAGAATTGGGAGAGGCCGCCTTCAAATTACCGTACATTGATCCATTGAGTTCGTTCCTTGCAATTACCATTTGGCAAACAAAACTACGAGTGGTTTTAAAGCTATCAAAGATTTGAAATGCAAATTTTGAATGTATTGCGGCAGTAAATCCCTTTTTAAATATAACAAATTGCTTAAACAGGAAAAGCTACACATCCATTCGCTACGTTGGAAATACTAGCAAAACAATCATTTTCTTTCTCTCCGAAGGCACTAGAGATCAGTTCGAGCTTTGGCCTAGTATCTGTGTTATCACATTTCTGCCAGCAATTTAGGAAAACTCCTAAACTATAACATACTCGAAATCCTTATTAGTTGATCGACTACAAAGAGGGGGCTAAGAAGAACTCCAGAAACCAACCCATCCAAAAATGTTTACTGAAGGCGAAAAAATAGTCTTTGCAAGACACCATGACCAAATCAGTAATTTCAGATTTCCCGTTGATGAAGTCAATTTCAGATTTTTTGTAAAGTCTAACTTATCTATGGGTGGCAGCACTGTCACTGTTTTCGAAGATAATCTCCCAGGGAGACAATGGGTGAAATTATTTTTAGTCATCCACAATTACCGATAAAAATCGATACTAAAAATTGTATTTCAGCTATTGAAGTTATCGTCGTGTTTATAGTATACTTACATTCATATTTGCACCAGAAAACCTCAGAACACATTGGACACAGTGCAAATCTCTGTGGTTTTAGATACGAAAACATCGCGTGGGTTCAAGTAGCCCACACATCAGTGTAACTTGAATCACATTTTTTGTTTTAAATTGCGGTGTGTTTTAAATATATCTTATCAAACCACTCTTGAGCACTTCACAATAAACCTGTAGATGTATACAAAATATAAACATTTTCTTTTAGTTTTTCAAGGATTACTAAAGGAAAAACTACGAAAGTTGAAAAATTGTGTCCAAGTAGCCCGTATATACGGTACTCAAACAAACGGGACACGGAGATCCCGCGATCTTTCCTTCCACTTCCTTGTCCTATCCTCACCCCTTACTTACATACACTTGTACCTATATGTACTACACTACCACACATGCTGTGATCTGGTCGGGAGCTAAGATTTTGTGCCGACGAGGGTGGTGCCCCGCAGGAGAGATACCTGATTGGGGAATATCCGCGCTAGCCGACGGTAGGTCATCACCAGATCTCACTATCTGCGGAGGAAGATCATGGCCACCTCCTGCGGAGAGATGCACTACACTTACGGGAATTATGAGTTCGTTGACATGCCCAGAATCATTAATCAATCAATCGTGCGCGTAAAATATCTAGAGTTAACGTTTAAATAAAATTGCTTCGTAAATGATTATCCATTGCAAGTATGTTTTTACTATTTTAGTTCGTAACCATGTTTTTTCCCTTTCACTCATTGTTCGGCTTACGGTCTCTCAGTATTCTATTTTTGTTCCCGCTGCGGTACTCCTTGAGTCGCACGAGGAAATGACCGGAACTCGTCACGCAGCCAACTTTGTGCCAGCTGTTGGCTCCAAAGTACCTCAAATTCAGTATTGCAGTTATTTGTCCCAGAGCCTACAGAATTTTATGATTAACAAAATAATGTTAAAGAGAGGTTTGTCAGATGCATGCGCACTTTAGTTTCTATTAAAATAATATATACATATGTGTGTGTAATTAAAGTTAAAAATGTTGGTGACGAAATTCATAATTGTATTGGAAAGGAAGACCCCGAAAAACTTTTTTAATTTTTACATTTTTCGTAAAGTCAGAGTTTGTAACGATAATGAGACCTGTATCATTCTCTTAAACGACCTTCTCACTATCCAACAACAAAACTTTAATCAAAAACTATAGATACATTTTTTTAAAATATCCCAGGAATTGTAAAGTACCCTTCGAAGTTAAAATATCGGTTTTAAATTTCGAGGCCGCGACATAAGCCAGATCGA